CTATATTTGGAAAGAGTAAGGACAGAAAACATAGAATCATTTTATTGCATCACAGTCTAAGATCATTTTAATATTAAAATTCGGCTCAAAATGGACAGGCTTCTTTCATAAATATATAAAAAATGAAATAAGATTATGACATAAAAGCAACAGAAGCGACCGAAAAAGACCCAAAACCCGGCGTTAAGTGCAGTCATCCTTTTGTGTGAATTATTGGCGTGTAAATCAGATGGACTTGCATGTAGGCATATTTTTCATGAAGTGCTAGTGAGGTTCATGAAATATGCCTAGTTTATGTGATTTACACACCAATAACACTCAAAACTTAAAACATTCCTTAAATATCCCACTGTCTTTGTAATGAAGCACTTTGAAAATTTCAGAAACAGACATATAATGTAACACTATGTGTTTGAAGTAAACTCTAAGTATCATGATCAATGAAATGCAGTGTCTGTTATTCAATCTCATGATTTTTCATTATTTCTATTTCAAAACTGCCGTAAAAAATTATTTTGATGTTGGTTGACAATGTCCTCATTAAACCATAATCAACTAGTCCCTTCTCAATATTCACAACAAATCAGTCTGTTCTGGGGGTTCAGTGATATGGAATGGCATTCCTTATTGACTTGTTGGAATGGATATTAAATACCATAAAACAGACACATCATTCTTTTGTTTTCAATATTAGACAGAAATAAAAAGTTATGTGTTCTCACGTGACATCCTTTTCATTTGAGAAGCTTAGCTTTGTTGTCCTGAAAGTAGGGAAAAGCGCCAAAGGGCAGATAATTCTGAATTGGATCAAAAGATGAAGTAATCACTTAACTACATTTATCAATGAAATGTACCAATGTTTCCACTCATATTAAGTGTATTTATATTTTTTACTATGTAATCATTAGGTGAAAGGGAGTGCATGACCTGCTTCACTTCACATAGATTGATAAAAAAAACGACGTAGGTTTTTAAGCTCACCTGTACTGAAAGCTCAAGTGAGCTTTTCTGTTCACCAATTTACTGGCGTCCGCCTGTATGTCTGTAAACTTTTCACATTTTCAACTCCTTCTCAAGAACCACTTTACCAAATTTAATCTGAGTTGGCACAGATCATCCTTGGTTAAGGGAATTCTAAATTGTTTGATAAAGGGCCAAGCTCCTTCCAAGGGGAAGTAATCAAGAAAAGGCAAAAATAGGGTGGCATCAATAAAAAAATCTTAGGAGGGGCCACAATAGGGGATCAAATTTTTGCATTGAAATATACTGTAAACCAACTATTATTTGTGTCATCTTTTATTTGCGATTCATCAATTTGAAATCAATCCGCGACGATTAATTTTTGCAACTTGGGAAACATTCTCTACAAATACAAAGCTTAGTCAATAATAAATAAAATATTCACGAGATAAAGTAGGTCGAGAAACTCCTGAATATTACTTGCAAGCGAATAAAAGTTGGCTTGCAGTATAGGAAAAGATCTTCAAAAATCTTCTTTTCAAGTCAAGAACCACTGGACCAAAAAAGATGAAACATATGTGAAATCTTTATAAGTAATGTATATTCTTAGTTGTTCAAGTCATGGCCCCTGGGGGTAGGGTAGGGCCATAACTGGGGATCTAGGTTTTTTTTTTAAATCTGAAGAAGAACTACAAAGGAACCATTAATTCCAAAACATTCCCAAGTTCTGTGGATTCAATTTTTTTTCAGGTTATTGATCCTGGGTTAGAGTTGGCTTAAATTGAGATAAAATTTAACATAATACATGTATATAGAAAAAGAATTTTCTTCTCAATAAATGGAACACCACATTAGTAATATTGAAGCATTCCCATGTTGTGTAGATTCAGAGACCTTTTAGACCATAATATGGGGTAACAATTTTTCATGGGAATATACATGTATAACAATCTTTTAAAATTCTGAGGTGGAACAACAAGGCAAATGTTACTCAGGTTAGCATTGTGGCCCATGGACCTTTTGGTGGTGATATGTATAACATTTAGTTTTAAAGACACACAAGAAAACCATTATTATATATATTTAAGCAAAATCTCCCATTTTCATGATTGTAGCCAACAGTATTATTTCAGCATTAGGTAGTACGATTTAATGAGTATACCGGTACATCATGATTTTTTTCATTACACAATACATAACATGAAGACTGAAATACCGGTATTTTGTACATAATTATAAATTCCTGAAATAATTCATTTTTGAATTAGAATTACCAGAAGTGTAAAAATCATGATATCCTAATTTTTTTTTTTGGGGGGGGGGGGGGGGGGGGGAGAGAATCCTGATATATTGTGATATGAAGTGATTAATCTCTATATAGCATGCATAATCTTTCTAAATTCCATTAATTTTTTTGGGGGGGGGGGGGGGGGGGGAGGAGAAATGTTCATAATATCTTTCGAATTCATTTTCCAGCGTATCAATTTTCAGACATGCTTTCCAGATGAAATATATTGCCTTGATTTTCAGGAAAAGTAGCATTGTTTGTGTGAACTGTAATTAGTTCTAAGCATACCAAGTAATCAGGCCCTGCTTTATTGCCGTAGACTGCTCTCCCTTAGAAGCTTAATGAGGTGTAGTAATTCAAATCTAGCTAATCACATGCGATTTATTGATGTAGCAAAAGTTAAGAGTTAGGTCTGATTGATCTAGAAACTGACAATACCACAAAGGGGATAACTGACAGACAACAGATTCAGGCAGCACTTCCAAGTCATATATTACTGCTAATCATTCAAACAATTAAGTCTTGTGTAGAGATGTTTGGAACAAAAAAGCAAAATTAATTGAAAACAATCCTGGCTGCACTAGCCTGTGTGGCTTATGAAGATCAATCTCTACTCTGTTTCTGAATAATGGACATTCAGTGGCTTTTTTATGCATGCTTTTTTTCAAGATCTTAATCGTAAATGAAAAATGGGTATACATTTCACAGACGGAAAATTTCTGGAGACAATTTCCATGGTGACAAGGGAACTTTTATTGGACATGTTAGAGAGCAACTGACTTCTGGTTCCTTACCATTTTCAGTGGTGTTTTTTTTTATGTCAATATATTGGAGATCAAAATGATTGGTCATGTGTTGGTGAAAGTGCAAATGATCTAGTACAAAAATCTGTTCTCCACTGATTTCGAAGACAAGGCAGTAGAAAATTAATTAGAAAGCAAATTTATATATAATTGGAGAGCAGATAGTAGGAGGGCATTTGGATTTGACGAGGAAGCATGTGACAAAGGCATAGCAGGGCTGGCTATTGGCGGCAGTTGGAAGTTGTATATTGGACTATTGTTTATTTGAATACTGTAGCAGGACATTATATCCATACATCCTATTAGAATTTTGAAGGATTGCTGTGCTGTGGTATTAAAACAGTGAAAATTGAAGACATATATTAAAATAAAATGACAGAAGTCAGAAGGAGGAAGCCATATCGAAACAAGACAGGAGGGGCCAAAAATGGTTATATGAAATCTCGAGGGGGTGGTGAGGTGTATAGTGTTCTAGGAATGTCACCTCAGCAACTCCTGACCAATGCTGTAGGATTGCTGGTGTGTCTGTTTGTGGGATATAAGCATGCTTCATATATGGCTCTGATTCATGATAATAATACCTGGTTTTCTAGCATCAAGGTAATTTATCTCCAGAATTGAATAATTTATATCTGATTCAAATCTTTTCATTAAAACCAAATTAAGTATTCTGTTATAGAGCACCAAATTTGCCTTTTCAAAACATGTCATTTGAGTTAAGTTTTTATCACAAGTGAACATTTTTGAGCACATTAATTCTGTGGCATATTTTTCTTGGTATACAAGACAATCTTTCTTAATATGTGCAAGAATGTTTGCACTTTTGATCAAAATTTATTAAATTATTAAATGTTACCATCAATGTTAAATTAATAAATTAATGGTAAATTAATGTGCCAGAGACAAAAAATTTGATTTGTAATTCATGTAACGAGTATAACAAATTACATTAATTAATGTTCACTTGTGTTAAAAAATTAACTCAAATGACATGTTTTAAAAAGGCGAATTTTTCAATTATTGAGTTAATTTTTAGTACGAAACTATCCCCTGCCACCTAAATTGAAGGGTGGCCAGTTATTTTTTTTTTGCTGTTAGTATTATCATGATTTATAATAGCAAAGAAAAAAAAATCCACGAATAATAAGACCAATAGAATAGCATTTATGTTGTGATACTTGTTTAATCAAGCTCAAACCCTTGTTACGCTTAAGTTTGTTAAAGATTAACATATATTTAGATGGTTATTTATCATGCCATCCCAGATATAAAGTGGTCCTGATTAATAAAGACACTGAATTTTGTATGTGTTGGCTTTATTCATGTAGAATTAATCTCAAGTTGCAATTTATAAGTTTATCATCACTGATTCTCATCAACATTTGCATTTCATGAATTCATGATAATCTGACTATTCATTATAATCTGACAATACATTAACCTGGATTTAGATCTGTAATCCAGTGCAGTGATCTCTTTTTGATCTGATAACGGAGAAAAAGAAAGCTGGATAGATAAAGCATCTTATTGTAAAAAATCAAACAGAGAGCCAGAGCTGTTAGGATCCAGTTAGAGGAAAAGAAAAGACTGATTGACGTGAAAACAAATATAGAGAATAGTCATTAGAGATCTAGCATGCTATCAATGATTATAAAGCAATGTCTGGACCAAGTAATGAACAGGGATTTAATTTTGCCTCTCTGACTGCCATACAGAGTATGTATTATCAAGACAATCAATTACTGACCCGTCTTTTTCCCCCTAACTCTGATAGGGAGAATGTACTCTGTGAATGCTACTGCTTTTAAAGTGCACTATGATATAATATATCAGAGGAACTGACAAGAAGATGGATGGTACATTAGGAGAATGTTTTTTGTTGTAAGATTGATTTTGTTGTGGGTCCAAATAAGAGCTTGTTTTCTTTCAATCTGTTTTACATTGTACAGGAGGTGGAGAGAGAGATTTCATTTCGAACGGAATCCGGACTGTATTATTCTTATTATAAACAAATGGTGCAGGCCCCCTCTATTTCACAGGGTAAGGAAGCTAAAAGGAAAATAGTAGTCCAAAAAACCTTAGATATTTTGTTGAATAAAAAAAAAATTTAAAACAGGCTGTAGTCCAATGAATACATTCTATGTTGGCTACTTGATTTTTTGATAAGTGCTATATATTCTAAGCCATAAAAGGACATATATTGTGTAAAATCTATGTTTAACATTTTTACATTTTAATGATGTATTACAGGCCTGCATTCCTTGATTCATGACAACATTACTGAACATCCAGACACAATTAATGTCCTAGAAAGAATGAACATATACCAGGAGGTTGTCCTCAGTATTCTATATAGAGTGTTACCTATAAAGGTAAGATTTAATAATTTGAATTTAGTGTTCTGTATAAGAACCACACAGGTAAGATTTACCATACCAATTTGTCCTCAAAATTCCAGAAATAGTGTTACCAGTAAAGAACACATTTACCAATTTGTTCTTGGTGTTCTGTATAGAGTGTTTACCATAAAAGTCACATTTACCAACTTGTCCTTGGTATTCTATATAGAGACTCAGTGTTGCATTAAAGGTCACATTTACCAACTTGTCCTCAGAGTTCTACATAGAGTGTTACCATAAGGTCACATTTACCAACTTCTATATTGAGTGTTACCCTAAAAGTCACATTTACCAACTTGTCCTCTGTGTTCTATATAGAGTGTTACCATAAAGAAGACATTTATCAACTTATCCTCAGAGTCAGTATTCTATATAGAGTGTTACCATAAAGATAAGATTTGTTCAGTTGTCCTCAGTGTCCTATATAGAGTGTTACCATGAAGACATTTATCAACTTGTCCTCAGAGTCAGTATTCTATATAGAGTGTTACCATAAAGATAAGATTTATTCAATTGTCCTCAGTGTCCTATATAGAGTGTTACCATGAAGACATTTATCAACTTGTCCTCAGAGTCAGTATTCTATATAGAGTGTTACCATAAAGAAGACATTATCAACTTGTCCTCAGAGTCAGTATTCTATATAGAGTGTTACCATAAAGATAAGATTTGTTCAATTGTCCTCAGTGTCCTATATAGAGTGTTACCATAAAGAAGACATTTATCAACTTGTCCTCAGAGTCAGTATTCTATATAGAGTGTTACCTTAAAGATAAGATTTGTTCAATTGTCCTCAGTGTCCTATATAGAGTGTTACCTTAAAGATAAGATTTGTTCAATTGTCCTCAGTGTCCTATATAGAGTGTTACCTTAAAGATAAGATTTGTTCAATTGTCCTCAGTGTCCTATATAGAGTGTTACCTTAAAGATAAGATTTGTTCAATTGTCCTCAGTGTCCTATATAGAGTGTTACCATAAAGAAGACATTTATCAACTTGTCCCCAGAGTCAGTATCCTATATAGAGTGTTACCTTAAAGATAAGATTTGTTCAATTGTCCTCAGTGTCCTACCTACTGTTCCTGAATTTTAGTTCAGCCAAAGGTTTGAGCTTTTCTGATAAAGTCCAAAGTCTGTTTGTCCATCCATCTATCATCTGTAAACTTTTCACATTTTGACTTCTCTAGAACTACTGGGCCAATTTCAGGCAAACTTGCCACAAAGCATCCTTAGGTATGTTCAAGTGAAGGACCCTGCACTTTCTCGTTTTGAGTTCTTGAGAACTATTGGGCCAATTTTAACTAAAGTGGGTACAAAGCATCCTTAAGTAAAAGGGGATTCTAATTTTATTCAAATAAAGGGCCAAGTCCCTTTCCAAGGGGAGATAATCAAGAAAAGGCAAAAATGGGTTGGGTCTTTAAAAAATCTTCTTCTCAAGAACTACTGGGCCAGAAAAGGTGACACTTATGTGAGATTTCTGTCGTAGTAGTGTGGATTTTTTAAAAAAAAAAATATTGAAAAGCATAAAACTTAATACAAAATAATTATGATAACCACAAAGTATGTGTTACTTTTCAGAACTGGGTCCAACCAATTTTTTTCTACATCAACTCAGTGTTTGCTCTCCATGCCATGTTGGTATGGGCGTTGTTCCTGACGGCTTACTTCTTAAGTGGGTCATGGCTAGCTGGCATCCTTACAGCTTGTTTCTACACATTTAACAAGTAAGACTAAATGTTTATGTCTGCAATTTCATAAACACTTATATTAAAAAAAAATATATCAGTCAGTTATCTCTAAAGGCCGATACACACAGTGAGATTTGTAGTATAATACAAGTATCATAATACTTCTTGTTTTATAATACTTTCTTGTGTACACGCTAATACATGTCATAAGATTGTAAATAGACTTTTGGTATTTCCACATTTTCCCCCGCTATCTCTCTCTCAAAATCTTGGGAAACATGATCCTGTTAGCAGTGTCTGCTATCGTACTATGCACTGCATTAAAACTAGAAAGACTGTGGATACAGTGATGGAACATACTTGGTACACATAATTCATCACTAGATGAGCTGCAAAGAAGAGACCCCAGAAGTTATGAAAATTTTTTTAGAATGGATAATGCAGCATTTGAGAAACTTTTACTATTAGTTCCTCCTTTGATCTTCTTCCCATAAGACAACGAGTTTTTCGATATCTTTACTGCTAAATTCTGCCATTATTATTTACCATGTGCTTTGTCTAGTAATGATAAAAATAGGATGACCCCCAATGTGAGTACATTTGGTAGGTTAAAAGTGAAAGGTAAGTTAAGACTTGGAAATAGAGCATTGCCCTATTCTTAAGGACATTGGCAAGTCAAGGTTTTCCGGAGAAAAAAGGTTTAATACATGGGTTTTTTCACTTATGAAATAGTGATTGAGAGTGATCTCCCGTGTAGAATTCTCTAAGCGGTGAAAACCAATAAAGCATATGTTTACAGAGGAAAACAAAAGCACATGTACTTCCTTCAACGGGTAGAATCATCTATACAGCAAGAAAGAAAATTAGTAATGGCTTTGTTGTGAATTGTATTCAGGGGACCAAGATCCAACAGGTTGTCATTTACCATAGTTATGCTCAGTATGCTGGGAAGGGCAAAGATGTGACATACGCTGAAAGGTAGACCGACTGAGATCAGTTCTCAGGTTGTATGAAGGAAGCAGCATTTAGTAACTACGAATAAAATTTGAAATAAATCCATGCCAATATTTTTATGACAATGTGTTTCAATCAATTCAGTCAATTACATGATAGAATCAATCAACCAGTCTGACTCTCTTGACCATTATGAATAATATGTAATTATAGCTGTTAAGGGAAGTAACTCAAAAATAAAGATCGGTGCCGGTATGTTCTTGTCCTGTTTCTATATATACATTTTCAGCCAAAATATCTAGAAGTCATAGGAAATGAAGATACAATAATGTATATAATACAAAAACTATATGAAATAAGTGGGTTTTTGAAAAATATTATGGTGAAAAATTATGTAGCTCCCTTTTATCAACATTTTACACAGGAAATGCATTGAGAATTGCAAAAACACTGATTTGACAAAATCTAAAAAAGAAGGTTGGCTTGGTAGGTTAAACAATCCAGAATATAGCCTGTTTAGTACAATTAAACCTACTCAAGAGTTCTTGAAAAATTCTATACTATAACCAGGAACCTTGCCAATGTCCTTAATACAGCTTTATAAGATTTGAAAAATTTGAAAGTGTATACACAGTAAGATTTTGTATTTTAATACAAATCTCATAATGCAAATCTTACCATGTGTACCGGCCTTTAAACTACAAGAAAATTAAATGCTAAAAACCATGTATTACTGTTACTAGAATGCGTGTAAAAGAAAATGAATATTTCTAAGGTTTTGATTACTTTCGGTTTCTTAAAGCTATGACTTTTATGCAAAATTTACTTTGAATATGAGGACTTGTTTGCATAAAGTTTACTCCAACATAGTACATTGTTATCATGCACACAATTTTAGAGAAAATAATAAAGTTGTAAATCTAATGGGCCATTGAACATGTTGAGGCCATTAGGCTTTGATTATTATACCCCAGAAATTCATGTTTGAAGCTTTTTATTATAATACAAGCATTATTTTGAAACAAATTTTTAAATAGATTTCAAGAATATGATATACATAATCTATATACTGGTATTTACTGGTATATATGTTGTTTGTGACTTAAAATTTGAAAGTGTATAGATATAGGCATGACAGGTGCATTATTTCACTATGAGAAAGGAAATGATTTCTTATTTATGAAGTTTACGTTTTGCAAGAAAGAATAAAATGTTTATTATAGTAATTGTTGAAGGTGACGAAGAATGTATGGTCACATTTATAAGGCTTAAAATATTGTATGAGTTGGCGTAGAAGTACATTTTATTGCGTAATTTCTTCACTGAATCTTCTGGAGGCAGTCTCATCAAATATGAAACACAGATTTGATGCATCTCTGACATATTTATTCTAGCACTTGCAATTGCTGAAAAACAAATGAAATTATATTTAATGCATACAATCTTTACAAATGATTATGTAACCATGGTTATATGCATTAAAACAATATAAAAGAACTTTTTTATAATGAGTCTGCAATATTATAATTTTTTTAATATTAAAAATCATTTGAGGCTTTCAACAATGAGAAGATATATGCATGCAAAACTAAATTATGGCCATCAGAATTCTTGTAAATTTAATAAAATATGTATGATCCTATTCATCCTAATAAGTGCCTTTGTCCTCATGAAAACCATTTGTCAGAAGGAATAAGTTGACTAAAAAAACAATTTCAAAAATATCTCCTTAAACTTTTACCATATGTGGATAGCATATATAATTCTGAAGAAAAACCCTTTCAAAATACAACAACTAAGAAGTGTTGGAAGATGTTGAAAGTTGGTCAGTCTTTTTATCCTGAAACCTGAATCAAGATTTGATACTTTAATCTGTCCACTTACCCGAGGGAAATTATAATAGTAGATGTCTTTGGAGGAAAACTTCTGAGAATGTGATCAAGATGAAAATACCAATTTGCAATATAATATTGATATTGAATTAAGAAAATGAGTCTCCTTTTAAATTGGTCCCCTGGAGATGTTTATAAGATCTGTTTTATGTCCTTTGGAGTATAAATGCATGTCATTCGTGGGAAATAAGTTACCAAGTGCGTGCATAAGACTAACAGAAAAATGAGAATTAATGTTCAAAATTCTGAAAGCCATTAAAAAAACTAAAAATGAGTCACTCTGAGCTTTAATCTCCATAACTGTTGACATAATCTTTTTACAACTCTGAGTGTGCATCATTGCACAGTTGCAGGTCCCCGTGGAGATATTGATTGCTGCAGTTCTTTATTGTTGTCATTTGTGCTATTTTTGATGTGCTGTAAAATTAAAGCAGGGAAATTACCCAGACTGTATAAAATGCTCCCTGTTCTTGCTGATTGTTCAAGAAACTAACAAACCCTGCAGGTCTAATTTCTGATTAAAGTGTATTGATCTATTCTGACTTGTTAGGGTGCTTTTATAAAATTAATTATATAAAAATGCAGCTTTATATTTGATGTGCATGTAGGCTGAAAGCAGAGCCTATCTCCATGATTGGAATAGGTTAATTTTATACCCCCATATTCTGTGTTAAGGTATTCAGTTCCTATCTAGTAGTCTCTCTCTCTCTCTCTCTCACCCCCCCCCCCCCCCATTTCCAACTGGAAATCCTGGACCCACCTCTGAGCTTTATGTCTCCAGACTATTTGAGGGCCTCTTTTGATCCACTAGTGGTACAACTAATTATTTCATTGGTTAGTCTGGTTTAAATTTACTGGTCATACTAGTATTGACCGTCTTCTTGAATTCTGTATATGAAGATACATAATTTTCTGTATCTTTTTTTATTTCATTGTTGCTTTGTTAACTAAAAGTAGAATATTTTGGTTTAAAAGTTTAGAAAACATCAGAATATGTAGTTTTGAATACAGTAAAACTTGTTGAATCCGGATGTTGTGCATTCCGGCATGTTGTTCAGTCCGGCGTAATATTTTAGTCCCTTGTATTTCTTTACAATTTATGTTTAATAAATGTTGTGCAATCCGGCCACTTATTTTTACCTGTGCCCGCTGGTCATTAGAGAAGTCTCGCGTGGGGTAATTATTCAATAATTTATTGTCCCGTTAATGATCTGTCCTGTATCGACAGTTTAGATTTTAACAAATGTGATGAAAAACATCATTAATGGCTCAAGTAAGGCGAGGAAACTTGCAAAAGAACAAGTGATAGTGATGGTTGCGTGTAGCATGTCTGTAGAAAAACTTGGAGACTTATTCATGACCTCCTTTCTACTTTCGTTTTGCGTGCAAAACGTGCATTACTTCCCTTTGTGTCGCTAATTTACAACGACCATAACGACAGAAGATTTTGATCCAATATTCATTATAACATTTGAAATTAACAAATACAGTGTCTAAATATTCAAACATATTAATTTTAAAAGAAAGAAATTAAGTAGGAATCTGTCCCTAACAAAATAATATTTACAGTAAGATGAGTTTTCGGAGTGTGTTTAAAACATTTAAAGATTTTCAAATTTAATAAATGAGCAAGAGATATTATATTTCGTTACTGAATAAAAAACTTAAACAGAAATGAAAATTCTGAAGAACAAACAGAGTTCAAAACAAACGACGATTTTTGCAAGTGAAACGTAAAAAATGACACATTTGATCAAGTATTTATTTACCACTCTTTGTTTATATCTATGTAATTTTTAACTTGCTATAACGGTTTAATTTTCTCCAATCCGGATGTTGTCTAATCCGGTCAAAAATTTTGGAACCGCTGGTCGCCGGATTAGACAAGTTTTACTGTATTTAAATTAAAGTAAAAAAGAAATGCAAGTCCTAGACTACATTTATTATAAGTTGACACTTGAATAGAACCACAGTCTTAGCAGGGACTTTTAGTTGATAAAATTCTATAAATATTTTTACTTTTCTTGTACTGAATGAAATTAGACTACATTTTGTATTGGTAATCCTTATGTGTTGATAAAGAAGGTTTGTCAGTGTTTCAGATACATTTAACTTGGTTTTGAGATCATTACCAGACTTGAATTTCTCCTACAGCTTGTCCTGAAGGAGTGTTGTGACTTGTCAGCTATCAAACTTTAGTTGGCTTCTTGCTTTCTAATTGGCCTTTGGTAGCTGTTTTATGTGAAAATGTACACAACATCAGGAATATTGGTCCATTTAATAAGCATTATACTCTGCTGCAAATTTTGAGTAATTTGTGGAATTAACCAGATAAGATTTCAAAAAGAAAAGCTGATAGGTTCTGTAAAAGTGGTTTGTGAAGGCCCTTGGTTTTAGTTATAATTGTAAGCTAAGTTATGAATGTTTTCTACATTGCAGGATAGACACTACTAGAGTGGAGTATATAATTCCCTGAATGTTTTCTGTATTACTGGGTAGACACCACTAGAGTGGAGTATATAATTCCCTGTATGTTTTCTGTGTTACAGGGTAGACAGTACTAGAGTGGAGTATATAATTCCCTGAATGTTTCTAAATGTTTTCTGTGTTACAGGGTAGGAACTACTAGCGTGGAGTATATAATTCCCTGAATGTTTTCTGTGTTACAGGGTAGGAACTACTAGAGTGGAGTATATAATTCCCTGAATGTTTTCTATATTACAGGGTAGACACTACTAGAGTGGAGTATATAATTCCCTGAATGTTTTCTGTGTTACAGGGTAGACAGCACTAGAGTGGACTATATAATTCCCTGAATGTTTTCTGTGTTACAGGGTAGACAGCACTAGAGTGGAGTATATAATTCCCTGAATGTTTTCTATATTACAGGGTAGACACTACTAGAGTGGAGTATATAATTCCCTGAATGTTTCTAAATGTTTTCTGTGTTACAGGGTAGGAACTACTAGCGTGGAGTATATAATTCCCTGAATGTTTCTGAATGTTTTCTGTGTTACAGGGTAGGAACTACTAGAGTGGAGTATATAATTCCCTGAATGTTTTCTGTGGTACAGGTTAGACACTACTAGAGTGGAGTATATAATTCCCTGAATGTTTTCTGTGTTACAGGGTAGACACTACTAGAGTGGAGTATATAATTCCCTGAATGTTTTCTGTGTTACAGGGTAGGAACTACTAGAGTGGAGTATATAATTCCCTGAATGTTTTCTATATTACAGGGTAGACACTACTAGAGTGGAGTATATAATTCCCTGAATGTTTTCTATATTACAGGGTAGACACTACTAGAGTGGAGTATATAATTCCCTGAATGTTTTCTATATTACAGGGTAGACACTACTAGAGTGGAGTATATAATTCCCTGAATGTTTTCTATATTACAGGGTAGACACTACTAGAGTGGAGTATATAATTCCCTGAATGTTTCTAAATGTTTTCTGTGTTACAGGGTAGGAACTACTAGCGTGGAGTATATAATTCCCTGAATGTTTCTGAATGTTTTCTGTGTTACAGGGTAGACACTACTAGAGTGGAGTATATAATTCCCTGAATGTTTTCTGTGTTACAGGGTAGACACTACTAGAATGGAGTATATAATTCCCTGAATGTTTCTGAATGTTTTCTGTGTTACAGGGTAGACACTACTAGAGTGGAGTATATAATTCCCTGAATGTTTTCTATATTACAGGGTAGGAACTACTAGAGTGGAGTATATAATTCCCTGAATGTTTTCTATATTACAGGGTAGGAACTACTAGAGTGGAGTATATAATTCCCTGAATGTTTTCTATATTACAGGGTAGACACTACTAGAGTGGAGTATATAATTCCCTGAATGTTTCTAAATGTTTTCTGTGTTACAGGGTAGACACTACTAGAGTGGAGTATATAATTCCCTGAATGTTTCTGAATGTTTTCTGTGTTACAGGGTAGGAACTACTAGAGTGGAGTATATAATTCCCTGAATGTTTTCTGTGTTACAGGGTAGACACTACTAGAGTGGAGTATATAATTCCCTGAATGTTTTCTATATTACAGGGTAGACACTACTAGAGTGGAGTATATAATTCCCTGAATGTTTTCTATATTACAGGGTAGACACTACTAGAGTGGAGTATATAATTCCCTGAATGTTTTCTATATTACAGGGTAGACACTACTAGAGTGGAGTATATAATTCCCTGAATGTTTCTGAATGTTTTCTGTGTTACAGGGTAGGAACTACTAGAGTGGAGTATATAATTCCCTGAATGTTTTCTGTGTTACAGGGTAGACACTACTAGAGTAGAGTATATAATTCCCTGAATGTTTTCTGTGTTACAGGGTAGACACTACTAGAGTGGAGTATATAATTCCCTGAATGTTTTCTGTGTTACAGGGTAGACACTACTAGAGTGGAGTATATAATTCCCTGAATGTTTTCTGTGTTACAGGGTAGGAACTACTAGAGTGGAGTATATAATTCCCTGAATGTTTTCTGTGTTACAGGGTAGACACTACTAGAGTGGAGTATATAATTCCCTGAATGTTTTCTGTGTTACTGGGTAGACACTACTAGAGTGGAGTATATAATTCCCTGAATGTTTTCTGTGTTACAGGGTAGACACTACTAGAGTGGAGTATATAATTCCCTGAATGTTTTCTATATTACAGGGTAGACACTTCTAGAGTGGAGTATATAATTCCCTGAATGTTTTCTATATTACAGGTAGACAGTACTAGAGTGCAGTATATAATTCCCTGAATGTTTTCTACATTACAGGGTAGACAGTACTAGAGTGGAGTATATAATTCCCTGAATGTTTTCTGTGTTACAGGGTAGACACCACTAGAGTGGAGTATATAATTCCCTGAATGTTTTCTATATTACAGGGTAGACACTACTAGAGTGGAGTATATAATTCCCTGAATGTTTTTTGTGTTACAGGGTAGACAGCACTAGAGTGGAGTATATATAATTCCCTGAATGTTTTCTATATTACAGGGTAGACACTACTAGAGTGGAGTATATAATTCCCTGAATGTTTTCTGTGTTACAGGGTAGACACTACTAGAGTGGAGTATATAATTCCCTGAATGTTTTCTCTGTTACAGGATAGACACTACTAGTCTAGAGTAGAGTATACAATTTCCTTAATGTTTTCTATATTACAGGGTAGACACTACTAGAGTGGAGTATATAATTCCCCTTAGGGAGAGCTTTTCTCTCCCCTTCATCTGGGTACAGATAGCAGCCACAACATACTACTTTAGACATAACTGTTCTCCAAAGAAAGAGGTAAGGAAGAAAACTAAGTGTTTTCAGAAAAAAATGTCAAAAAGCCCTCATGCTCTGTGCCCCCCCCCCCCCAAAAAAAAAAGCAAGATAGGAGAAGGCCATTTTAATTCAGAACCCCTGTCTGCCTTTCCATGATTACTTCACATTCCTTTTCCAGGATTGGTTTAAACTATAATATAAATATAAACAATAAAATGTCTTTCTTTGGTTGTTAGTATGGGAATTAACGTTGCAGCTATTGCAGAAAAAAATCACATAACCCGCTTATGCGATACAATGCCATTTACTGGTGATGCAGGGTAGGAAAAGTATGCAAAGTTCAAACTACAACTGATTCAAAAGAGTTGCTGTGATAAGATTTTTACCTGTCTAAGAGAAGAGGTAGATATCAAAATAAGTTGCAGTAAAGCAAAAAATATATTGTGGAATAGCTGTATGATTTGTCGTGGAAAAGTAGGATTTTTTTTGCAGAAAAGCAGTTTCCAGTTGCAGAAGGTTTAATTGCATTACGACAATAAATTATCACTTTCGAAGAAGGGCTATGGAAGGACTGGAATAAGAAAGACACAAGAGTCTAAGACCATGATGGAGAACTTTTGATTTCTTTTTTTTGTCTTTATTAGGATATTCTTAGTGGAATAATTAGTTGTTGCTTACAAACAGATATAATTTAAGTTAGATCAATTGAATGTAGAAAATTCTGCATGAATCACACTTTTCCATCTGTGCCAACATATGCTTTGATGCAAAATATATATTAACATATATGACAGTTTGAAGTGACACAACTATATTCATGTCAATACTTTACTGAAAGTTCACACTGTCAGTGAAATTGCAGGGCTTAATAACCCTTGCATCCAGGTCCTAAAGTACCTGTCCCAATGGAATTTACTCTATTTTTTCCCAAAATTTAAGGAAAATTCCCAATCAATTGTGCTTATAAATAAATTTAAAATGTTCTCAGCATTACATGTAATTGTTTTACTTACAGAAGTTGTCTGTGATGATTATCTTCATCTCCACTCTGTGTTTCTCCCTTTGCTGGCAGTTTAACCAGTTTGTACTGTTACTTCAAGCCTTCACTTTATTTGGAACCTGGATCTTGGATATGGTGCCTTCCAGAAAGGTTCGTGGAAATTTAAACTGGGTTTATGATTGAATATGTTATGTTTATGAAACTTATAATTATCTGAAAGGATTTTATAATTCCTTACACCTTTGAAAGTATTCTGCCTTGAAAATCATCATGGACATCTAACAGGCAAAGCGCTTTGAGGATTGCAGCTTATTCTGTATCAAAATTTTGAAATCCAGGCTTCAGGCCCCAAGGAGAGACTAAATGCATCATATATTGAAAATACAATACAAAGGACAAGATAGGCTAAGAACCCTTTTTGGCCCCTGGTTTGGGGTGTGTTTTAGAATGATGCAACAGTTTTTCAACAGAATCCTGTTGTTACCCCTGCCACAAAATGAGTATTGGTTTTAAGTTATGGGATACACAGAGGTCACAAGAAGGTCCTAAAATATGTCCATTTCCGAATTTTCTTATTTTATGCAAATTTTCATCGATTTTACAGCACATTTTGTTTCAGAAAACATAGAGCACAAGCTTGCCTATCTACCAGATTTATATATTTCATACACTAGTACCAGATGCATCTTATGTATAAAAATCTCAGATAGGCAAGCTTGTGCTCTATGTTTCCCGAAGTGAAAAGTATCTCAAATTTGACAAAATTCCACTAGAATTGAGGAAATTCGGGAAAATGTCCTACTTCTGCACCCTCTTGTGGCCTCCGTGTAAGCTTTGAATCAAAATTAGTGCTGGTTTTAAAACAAGCATCATTTTAAGTTCTTAACTACAAACTATCACAATTTTAACTGTGTTCTGATTTTTACATCAAATAAGGCGCCAGATTCGGCCGTTACCATACTTTGTCCTTTGAGAATCTTAGGCTTTACTCATGGACATGATGCTTAGATACAATGAGCAGCTAGCGTTCTACAAATACTCTGAAATTCATGTCCTCATGGATCAGGGGAGGGGCTAAGATGGTCATATATTGAAAATCTTATTGAATCATCAATGAAATATGTCAATTTTTTTGAAGAGTTAATTTTGGAGATGACTCAGTGGAATATATCACTGTGACCTTGTATTTCAGATTCAGATGCTGTTTATCGCTCAGGGTACCTCTTTACTTTTGACTTGCTTCCTGCAGTTCTTCAACAAAATGATCCTAGGGTCTTTAGTCATGAGTTTTATTCCTTCTGCCCTTCTACTTATCTATCTTAAGGTAAGGTAAATAAAAGAATATGTTGTACAAGGCCAACATTTTGTTAACAAAATGCATATACACCACATGTTCAGAAATTCAAAGGACAGCTGCATATTTGGAAAATTAAATTTACATACTGATTCATGCTGTGGAAATTCTTGTATCTTCAGGGAGATGAGCTGAAGCCATGCAGTGTTCCTAGTCGAATCATTAAGGTGTTTGGTTACTCTCTGACAGTTCTAGTCTCCATGATACTGTTACAGAATTTATTTAAGGTACACCATATATAAAATAATATAAGTTTACTTCGTTTATGATGAACTTGTGCATTATTGAAAGACTTATACATATTTATTTAATGCTATGGCCATGATTTTTATTTGATCTTGTTCTAGTTAATACTTGGGATTGATGCAGATGATCATATCTACAAATTTATCATGTCAAAATTTAATGTTGGTCATGCAAGGTGAGAGATAAAAATCATTGTAAGAAATCACTGTAAGATGTAATTTTAATCAAGTTTTTTACGAATTATATAACTGGAAAAATACAAAGAATTCTATAAAATGTTTAGATTGAAAATATGGTGTGTTGTGGAAAAACCTTTTTCCCCAACCTATTTTATGAGGTTTTAAGCTTTAATTTGTGATACACATGCAAGCTTGATTTAGATAGGACAAATACATGTATACTGTCTCTTAAATTTCCTGTCTTTTTCAGGGACTTTGATGCCCTCTTGTACCTGTGTATTGATGCCTTTGGCTTCCTCCAGTTTGATACATTTGAGAGACTAACACAAGGAGTTGTCTTCCCCTTATATGTTGTCACACATCTAGGAATGTTAATCATTTTATTTATAGCAGTTTTACAGAACTGGAGGTAGGTATATGAGGATTGATGCTTATTGATTGATTTATTAAAAAAAAATTTGAATTGTGCTTAATTCTTAGATTCTCATATTAATTTTTATACAAAAAAGAGTATACGGATAGGTATTTTTGTTGAGGTGAGCTTCGTAATCTTTGATTGCCTGTGTTCTATATACAAAACAGCCTTTTTTCTCCCAGTTTTTCCATTCATTTTGAACCTAAATGGCTTACTTGCCCTTGAAGAAGAGAGAATGGGGATGGGAATTTAAATTTTGTTACCTTTTGCTGTATACTTGTGTACTTATGACTTGTCTGTAATTGTATACACATACATGTACGATTTAAAAGTGATTTGAAGAAATGAAATGAAATGTTACATTCTTAGACATTTACAATGCATGTACTAAGGAATGTTACAGTTATTTATAAACACATTCTAATTAATCATATAATTTTGTAGCAACCATGTACATGACACCAATGTCAAAGATCACACAAGTGCCAAAAAAATCCATCTTCTGAGTTGTCGTCCAGAACTAGCCTACCATGCAGGTAAAAAACCTACCTTTCTCATATTGCTCAAATTTAATGTTATTAAAGTGGAAAGTGATATTGTCTTCATTGATAAATCTCATTAGTTAAGGATGATGCTTTAAGAATGACATTTTAATTGAAGATTTTACATGTTGATGTTATTTGATTTGAAGAATTTATATATAGATCTTGTTTATGACTTATTTGTGTGTTACAGTATTAGCAGTTTTCTTTGGGATGCTGGGGATGTCTACATTACGTATGAAGTACCTGTGGACTCCGTACATGTGTATCCTGGGGAGTGTGGGAATCTGTGATTATAAAGTATGGAGGACACTGTTGTCTCCCCTCAAAACACAGGGAATTATAGTAAGACTCTTGACTATAGGTTCACTACTGCTGGCTTAGTATCCCTCTAATGATAACAGTGAAATCACAAAATAATTGGATAAAATGTCATGGCATTCTGTCAGATTTTTGTCATCTTGCTATATCATGTTATGTTTTGTTCTCTGTTACATTACAGGTTCAGATAGTCAGGCACTTTATGACTCTGTTGACTTTAACCATTTTATTGGCAATAGTGAGTAAACACTGGTTGATCAAATGTCAGTTCTGGAATTTAAAAAAAAGATGATTATAAAATGTACAAGTATACACAGCAAAATGTGCCACGTACGTATCACGTACGTTAAACGTATGTGATACGTACGTGACTTCACGTACGTATCACATGAAAAAAGCACCACGTATGTTAAACGCACGTTTTCACACGTATATCATGCGTGACACGTACGTTAAACATACGTATTGACTACCATACGTTACACACATGTTGCACACGTACGTTATTCATATGGTTCACGTATGAATAACGTACGTGCAACATGTGTGTAATGTATGTTTTTAGAAACATGAGTTTAACATGTTTGTTAAATGCACTGCTCATATGATAAATGTATAAGTACCATACATGTGGCAAACCATGGTTAAACAACGAATATTCTTTTTCACATATATATTGTAAACATACGTGAAACAAAAATGATGTGCAATTAAAATATTCATTTCATGCATTTGACATAATTTTCTTCAGGGGCTTATTTTCTTTTCATATGTTGAATGATCCACATTTTGAAGGTACATATCTGGATATCCTTCACCTCAAATTTCCTGATCCTAATTGCTCTTTAGGCAATCACAACAAAAGACATAATCAAATTTAAGCCAATTTTAATGTTGAGATGTTAACATCAATTCATTCTTCTGCAATTCCCTTTCATCTGTAAAGAAAAAGAAAATATTAAATGAATTTGCATATGGAAAAACACATAGTTTTTTTTCTTCAGAACATTATTTTCAACATATAATTACTCCTGGTTGACTCCCTTTAGAACTAAACTAGAACTGTCCAATATGAACAAATACCCCCCACTGGGTTTTTCAGAGAAGATGCCAAGTCACTAATACTAGTATTTTAGGATCTAAAAGGTGTTCAAAAATTGTTTATACATTTAGAGAGAAAATTTACCAGTAATTGCTCATTATATTTTTTTAATGAATGAAACTTTGGCATAGCCTAGTAAAACAGCAATACTAATAATAATATTGTTTTTTATTACATTGAAAAATTAATAACACTTTTTTCAAGTATTTCTCTGTTGGAAAGTATGGATGCATTATTTATCCATTTTTTCTACAGTATGTGACTATAGGTCAGGATCATGACACACCCACAGGTCATAAGCAATCTTTGTGTGAAGTGGATACTCCCAACATCCAAATTATCCTCCATAGGAAAGATACAGACCGAACACAAATTATGAACTTTTTCTGTCAGTGACCATGAACTTGTCCAAATGACCTTGGGTCAGGTCATGACACACCTTCAGGTCATAAGCAATCTTTGTGTAAACACGAATTATGATTTTTTTCTGTCAGTGACCTTGAACTTGCCCAAATGACCTTGGGTCAAGGTGATGACACACCCGCAGGCCATAAGAAATATTAATATAACATATGGTTTTGTTGTTCTTGAGCAGAAATTTTTTAAAGATTTTTCTCTACATATGCCTTTGTAAAACCTTGATCCCAGGGATAGACATTAACTTTCATATTCACTTGCCTTTCGGGCAAGTGATCTCAAACTTTGACTTGTCCGAATGCAAAACTTGGTTGCCCCCCAAAAAAGAAGAAAATTATGCTAAGAAAAAAAATGTGATCAAAAAACACATAATATGCGTTTGTAATTAAATGTATACAACTGTCCTTGTCATTAACACACACTGCCATGCAGCAATAATCCTCCGTTTCCTTTTAATAAAAATCACATTTTAAAAATTATTTTCAGTAGGATCTTTTTGTGAATTGTAATTTTCAGAGATATCTGTGAAGCAACGCTAAAAGAAGATAGTTGCTACGAAACGTATATTTGATCAGGATATATCATATGTTACTTATTTTTAAGTAAATAAATAATCTAAATAAGTACGAAGTAGGTAACAAAGTTGTTGGAGGTTCTAGCGTATTTTACCACGAAAACTGAACCCGATTTTTAAATGAACGGTATAATCTAGAAACGCTATCAAGGAATTCCGAATGATGTCAGTCAGGTACCTGGCGGAAATCAAATGTTCAGTTTATTGTCTATTTACAAATTAATGAAAACTAAATGATATATACATTTGTATGAAAAAAAAAAATCACTTGCCCGATCGGACAAGTACTTCGACAGTTTCACTTGCCCGAACTGAGAATTTACTTGTCCCGGGCAATCGGACAACCGTTAACGTCGATCCCTGGATCCCAGTTGTGGCCTCTCCCTACCCCAGGGTTCATGATTTGAAGAAAATTGAATCTACACTACCTGATGATGCTTTCATATAAACATGACTAATCATGGCTTTTCTGTTCTTGAGAAGAAGATTTTTTTTCTATATATTCTATGTAAAACTTTGATCTTCCATTATGGTCCAATCCTATCCCCAGAGGATCATGATTTAAACAAACTTGAATCTACACAGCCTGAGGATGCTTCCATTTCAAAATGACTATTCATGGCTTTGCTATTCTTGAGAAGAAGAATTTTAAAGTTTTTTTCCTATGTATTCCTATGTATAAATATTGATCCCCCATTGTGGCCCCTCCCTACCCCTGGGGGGTCATGATTTGAACAAACTTGAATCCACACTACTTGATGATGCTTCATTATCAATATGACTAAACAAGGCTTTGCTGTTCTTGAGAAGAAGATTTTTTAAGATTTTTTCTTATATATTCCTATGTAAAAATTTGATCCCCCATTGTGGCCCCAACCTACCCCTGGGGCTCGTGATTTAAACAAATTTGAATTAACACTTTGACATACAAGGTTTCCTATAAGTTTCAACTTTTTTGGCCCAGTGGTTCTTGAGAAGAAGATTTTTAAAACATCCCACTAAATTTTCACTATTTCTTAATTATCTCCCTTTTATTGAGGGTGTGGCCCTTTATTTGAACAAACTTGAATCCCCTTTACCCAAGGATAGTTTGTGGCAAGTTTGGTTGAAATAGGCCAGTGGTTCTGGAGAAGAAGTCAAAAACGTGAAAGTTTACAGACAGACGGACAGCTAGACAGACTACAGACAAAATGTGATCAGCAAAAGCTCACTTGAGCTTTCAGCTCAGGTGAGCTAAAAACAGATAGCAATAGGTCATGACTGACTAAGGTTATCTAATTAGTTATAACATTTTTTTGTGATTACATGTAAGTCAGCTCAGGTGCAAAATATTGCTTATCACTGATATAAATACAATAGTAAAATTTTAGACATAACCATGTGTCTGACAATTAAATTCTATATAATAATAGAACTTACCCTCAGCATAAATCTTTCATAGCTTGGCATGGACCTATATGTTTTTGTGTCTGTTCGAAGTGTATACTTTTTGTCCTTGGGGAAAAAAGAAAATATATGTTAAAAAAAAATTGCATTTCAGACTTGTAAAGCAAAACAAACAATATGAAAAATTACTAATTTTACTGATAACATTTAACATTTTCTCCTCTTGTGATTGAAATGTAATGCACATCATTACATGATATTATATGTATTAAATTGCAAGTCTAAAGGCAATGGGATCAGAAAATTTGATTTCTTTTTTAAGAGTATTACCATAATGCTGGTTAAACTTTCAGAAACTGTTTTTGAAGTCCAGACTTGGCATTTAGGTGTTTACATAGGAGATGAGCTTCAGCCACCATCCTGGAGTGTACATTTAAAATCACATAAAAAAATCACAATCTCAAAATACATTATTTATATTCATAAGGACTGTATGAAAAAGACATCTGAAAAATAAGTGTTACACCCTTATTGCCCTAAAAGATAATTTATATTTCCTCTACATGTTTTGTAAAGAAATACATTGGGTGGGTGGAACTTTTTCAATCAAGTGTTTTATTGCATCTTATTGGTAGGCTAAAAAAATCTTACAATAAATATTTTTTATAACAGTATGTTTTATACCTCACCTTAATTTTGATATAATGTGCCATTGTTGATTCACACCTGGGCTGGGGTGCTGACCAAGACAGTTGACTGCGTCAATATTTTCTTACTTATTTGGTAAACTAAGTTTACATTATGTTATACACTAAAATAAAAGAAACACACCCGTTAGTTTACATGCAACACAGTCTGAAATATAAAGTAAATAAATAACTGTAGATGTTCTGTATATTCCTCACTGTTACTCCTATCCTAACTCCAGACACTGTCTTGCAGACGTCAGACTTCTTACCAGTGACGTCACCCGTTAACGTAAATAATAATCGGAGGTGAAAATTCCGGAACGTACATTTTACATATTTAGTGTTATACGGACGCTACCAACTGTATAATTATGTAATACCTATTTAGGTGAATTCCATTTGAGTTCTGTTGTGAAATTATCGTGATTTTCTTTTCTTTTTTTTTTTTTTTCAAATTCAGCTTTTGCTCCTGAATTCGGAATGTTTATATCTACCGATGATCGAGTTCAATTTTATGTGCCTCTACCGATATCCGATATACATATTACGAGATTGGTGTACTTGTATGTAGACTATGTTTTACTGCTCTAAGAGTAAATTACACACCAATGCGAACTGATTACTCCATGTCAGACATGCAAGTGGACGTAAGGTAAACAATGTGAAATAAATTGGAACATTAAAGACGCAAAACACGCACAACAAGTCAACAAAAGTCAACAATGCACACACCTGTGAGCTTTCAGAGGTGATTGGGTTTTAATCATCATTATCATAGATCATGATATGATATTATTTTTTTGGAAAAAAAAATAGTTAAATCTTTAAAATATATTACAGTATAATGATTAAAATCCACGCAACTTATGATCTAGGGTCCCGTTTTAAGAGGGATTTTATACTTGGACCAAGTTGGTCGCAATACTCTGTTTCATGAATTACAGGTTATTGATCAGGTCCGGCACAATCTCCTGATTAAGCTATATAGCTTAATTTAGCTATATAGCTTTATTAAGCTATTCAGAATAGCTTGATTTAGCTATTTTATCACACTTTTTTCTCAAATGTGTTAATTTCCTAGTATGTACAAAAAGTCGCACCTTGGTGCAGTGATGATATTCAACCTTGAACTCTTATGAAAATAATGCATGTAAAAATCACTCATCAAATTGCGTCTCCTTAAGAGACTTTGTACTCAAAGTTCTAAAAGTTTTGGGGGCTATATAAAGCAATTGATACAGTTACCTCTTCAATGAAATTATAAAGGAGGCCAATTATGGTCAACAAGATAATTGATTGGTAATAATTCAGTACAATGAGAAGCAATCATACTTATCCATGCCTCAACTCACACAAGGTAGTGTACAGTTACCCAAACAATGGAAATTCATCTTTTGCTTAAAAGTATTCAAATGCTGCAATGTTAGAACTATCTTTGATTTGGGTTGTTGATTTGATAACCCATATTACATATATGAATAGTCAAATACACTGTACTTGCTACTTTTTGTCTATTTTGTACAAATAACATTTTTGTGAAAACCTGCATATAAATAGCTTTATCAAGCTATTTTGAATAGCTTAATAAAGCTATATAGCTATTTCAAGCTATAAAGCTTAATCAAGAGATTGTGCCAGACCTGTTGATTGTTAAACATTATCTTGATTAGTTCTCCAAATTCACTCTGAACTATTAAGTAAAAAAAAGTATTTGGTCTGAGGTGTACTTTTGTACAAAAAGTTCCTGTTACAGTATTTGAAAATGTCACCAATTTATGAATATTATATAGTCCCAGCAACAATAAAACTTTTAGGGATTTTTTTCACTTGTTGACAAAAATTCATAATTTTACTAATTAATTAAACGAATTAAAAAGGATTGAATTTAATTATAGTTGACCTACATTTATTGTACATGTATGTAAAAGTACCATTAATATAGAAAATATACAGCCTTCTCAAACACAGCCAGCTTTTCACACACATGTAAAAAAAAAATTATTAAACTACATGTAACATAGCTGATAACACTCATACTTGTCATTAATGTACATGTAATGTGTGGTTTTAATACATGTAAACCATGCATATATTAACGTATGTGTAACGTGTGGTTGATGATAAATGTAAACCCTGTGTGTGAAATATGTGTAATGTGTGGTTTATAATACACATGTAAACCGTGCGTTTATTAATGTATGTGTAACGTATGGTTGACAATACATATGTAAACCACGTGTTCATTAACGTATGTGTAACGCGTGGTAGCACATACCATATGTGACACGTATGTGAAATGTACATAACACGTACGTGTATTCCAACCGCACGTTTCACGTACGCTTTGTGAAACGTATGTTGTCACACGCATGTTATCCATATGTTATACCACGTACGTGTAACATGCGGTTGGAATACACGTATGTGTTACGTATGTTTCACATACGTGTAACATATGGTATGTGCTACCATACGTTACACGTACGTGGCACAATTACTTGTACATTTTATATTTTTTTCCTTTTGAACTAACTAGCAAAATGTGAAGAAATGCCATTAGTATAATAATTAATGTATAACTTTTTAAAGGCACTTTCACCTCTATTGAAAGAATTAGAGGAATTAAAAGAGTTTTGGGATCCAGATACTGTAGAACTCATGGAGTGGATTAAGTAAGTATGGGGAGTATTAATTAGAAAATCAATTTTTTTTTTTTACAAATACTAAAAAATAAAGTTAATATAGGCCATTTATTTATTGTTTAGCAACTTTTATTACATTTTCAACAGTGAAATACCGTGATTTATTTATTGAATAAAAGTGATATTCTCTCACAGTGTGAAAGGATACCAAAATGATATTCTCTCACAGTGTGAAAGGATATCAAAGTAAGTAAAAATTAATTGCTGGCCTGTCATAAGATAGAGATAGTACCTAAGCATCTTGATAGAGCTAAAACTGCAAATTTCTTCCTAAATATGTTGCCAAAATCCATGCTATGTAATGTTTTCAATCACACAACTGCTAAGCTATGACGTCTCAACCGCTCAACTATGACGTCAAGCCTATGACACTGTGTTAAGAAAAGACAGAGGCAAAGGGAAAATCAAAGAAAATGTAATAAACAGAAAATTCAATGTTTTGTAGATGAATATGGAATTTATTTCACTCGTGAGACAGGATTTTTTGATATTTTCACTCGTGCTTCGCACTCGTGAAAATATCAAAAAATCCTATCCCACTCATGAAATAAATTCCATATTCATCTACAAAACATTGAATATCCTCTATATGGTTTTGATAAATTGCAGCTTCCTGTAGTTTGAAGAAGTGTCAAAAAGAATAATACTTAAATTTCATTTAACTTTGTAATAATTCATAATGTTGCTTCTCCTAGTGGTATGCATAGGAATATCAACTCTGATAGTTTTCTGTTTGTGAGGGAAATATATGGAGTTATCTCTCTTGAATCATAACAGGTCCAATGTGCCAAAAGGTGCAGCGTTTACAGGCAGTATGCAGCTGTTAGCAGGGGTCAAACTATGTACAGGTCGACCAATCACTAACCATCCACATTACGAGGACAAATATCTCAGATTTAAAACCAAAGAGGTCAGTTGTTTTTCTCTGATTGGTAAGCAAATTAGCAAATATTTACTGTGCAGTTTCGGTTTTTTCAGAAATTCTCAGGGCCAAAAAAGGCTCAAAGTGGCCTTTGCTCTTTGTCACAGAGTATCCTTGGTCCAAGGGCTCTCATTTTTACTAAAGCTAAAGATGTGACCCGTAAACAAGGGGAGATAATTTGGAAGATAAAAACAAAAGTGATTGCTAAAAATTTATCTTCTCAAGAACCACTGGGCAGATTATCACCAAACTTACTTACAAGGATAGGATATGTTGTAGATTAAAAATTGTTCAAGGCATCACCCAGGTGCAAAGGGCGTGGGCTCAGCGTCACTTCAGAGTTGACCAAAAATTATGTTTTGTTAAAACTTTGATATTTTGCTTTCTATAAGGCCTAGAATCATCAAATCTTGTCAGTTGATGCATCTTAGGACCTCATATCATCAGGGTTTTCAAAAAGATTAGAAACAGGCGTTACTTTTACAAAAATAGGAGGTACCCTGTAGAAGCAATTTTAATTAATATGTTATCAAATTTTTTTCCATCAAATATTTTGGCCGGTACAATAATTATTTCAGCCAGGTAAAAGTACCGGGTACCGGCACATTTTGAAAGGGCTGTATCATGTTGACTAAAAAGTAGGTCATGATGACCTACTTTTTGAATTTTGCATGCATTCTTTTTCAATTTGATTTTAATGCATATCTTGGGCATTTTGAAGCTTATGATCATTTAAACTTGTCAATTTATGCATTATAGGGCCTTGAAATATGTCAACTAAAAAGTAGGTCACTGTGACATACTTTAAAAATGTTATGGCTAATCATTTACAAAACATATAAGGTCATTATTTCAGATACTAAGAGGTTAAGAATCATTAAACCTTGTGAGTTGATGCATCTTGGGGCCTTCAAACATATTTAACAAAAAGTAGGTCACAGTGACTTACTTTTTGAATTCTGCAGGCATTCAGTTTTAAATTTTTTTAGAGGCGTATTTTTGACACATTGAGGCCTTTGTTCATCATCTTTGTGAGTTGATACATCTTGGGTTCTCGGAGTATGTCACTAAAAGTAGGCCACCGTAACTACTTTTTAAATTTATTGCTATATTTAAATATTTCAGATACTAATTGGCTTAGAATCATCAAACTTTGTCAGTTGATGTATTTTGAGTCCTCAGAATGTGTCAACTGAAAAGTAGGTCACTGTGACCTACTTTTAGAAGTTAAAGACTCTATATTAATTTCAGATACTTATTGGCATAGAATCATCAAACTTTTTCAGTTGATGCACCTTTGGTCCCCAGACTATGTCACTGAAAAATAGGTCACCAAGACCTACTTGGAATTTTAAGGCTATATTTAACTATTTCAGATACTTATTGTCTTCAAATCATCAAACTTTCTCATTTGATGTATTTTGAGTCCTCAGAATGTGTCAACTAAAAAGTAAGTCACAATGACCTACTTTTGTAATTTTTTTAAGGCAATATCTAAAAATTTCATATTATTAGAAACTTAGGATCATGAAACTTTGTTAGTTGAGTATGTTTATCAAAAAGTAGGTCACCATGACGTACTTTTGGATTTTCTTGACTTTATCTGAATATTTAAGATAATAAGGGGCTTTGAATCATCAAACGATGTCGGTTAATATATCTTGGGTTCTCAGAGTGTTTTAACAAAAATGTAGGTCTTGATGACCTACTTTTGGAATTTCAAGGCTTTATTTAAATATACAGGATACTAAAAGGCTTCAGATAGAAGTGATAGGTCGTACAATTTATCAGAAGAGCGATTCAAGGCCCTTGGGCCTCTTGTTTTTTCTTTTTTTTTGTCAAAGAAATACAATCCATGTGCTTTAATTTATTTGAAATTGTATTTCAAAATTCCATTCTTAATTGTTAAAGTAGATGACTTATTATATCCTTTGTATGCATTGGTTTGTGTACATGAAAAATAAATTTTCTTACAGCTTTACCAAATATATGGGAGAAGAACACCCAAAGATGTCCATGACATTCTAAAAAAGTACAAATCAAGTTATATCATATTAGAGGATAGTATTTGTTTAGCACCTTCTAAGGGATGTCGGACACCTGATATTGTAGATATTGACAATGGAGTGGTAAGTCTTCAGTACTGTAAACTAATTTTTATTTGCTTGTATAAGATATCCATGAGTTTCTCAACTTTATATTACACGCAAATTTCTCTTGTTGATAGCCATTAATTTAATTAAGTACTTACATGTATGTAGCATATTTTCTATTTAGTAGTCATAGGGTGGATTTAAAATGCTGAATTACAAATAAATGTCACGAATAATAGTTGGTTTGCAGTGCTTGTGTTTCTCATCCTTTAATTGTTTCACTGAAAATTTTAATCATAAGTTAAAAGTGATTGAATGATATAGTTATAGTTATACAATTAAATTCTCATGTACCCCCAGGTCCTCAAATATATCTAACTGCACAGTAAGATTCATGAAATGCAAAATTGATGTAAATACTCCTTTTATTTGATTGAATTTTGCAACTTCATTAATTATTTAGAATAATATCACTCTCAAATTTATATGGACTTTCACCCTTTCAGAAAAGTTGAAAGGAAGTAGTTTGCACCATTAAATTATTCCCTTTGCCTATATTATAGTAATAGGAACATTACTTATTCACTTGTAGATCCCAGATCATGGGAAGGCGGAACCAGGATTAGTCAAAAGCAACATTCCTAGATTTTGTGATGAAATACGATATGAATCTCCAGCATATACAAAATATTTCAAACTTGTGTTCAGTAATCGGACATTCCGTGTCCACAAAGTATTATAAAATCTACAATACTTTTAAAATATATTCAGTTATTACCTTTTTTACTCTCTCCCAGTTTTCCTTTTCTGTCCCTGTATTGATTTAACATTTTTGGTCCCATTTTAGTTTTGCATACTCCTTTGCCATTGGTTTTTGTTACATGTATTTATTTTTTAAGTTTCCTTGCAATTGCCAATAATTATTTTGTTCATGTTCTATAATTAAAATTTACATTATACACTCTACAATATTAAAGCTAAAATTGTGCCATTTCAATGTCTCTAAGGTGAATTGACTGAGACTATAATTTGATGTCTTAGAATGAATTACTGGCAAGAAAATTAATAAGTACAATGTTTCCTACTTTAATTTTTAAAAGAAAATTAGAAGTTATTGCTTATGGTATGATCTTAAAAATTTGCATAATACAGTTATCCTTGGATATGAATAAACCAACTCCATCAAATAAACATCTTGATTTTTAGCTCTACTGGTCAGAGAAGAGAAGAGCTTATGCAATAGTAAGGTGTCCGTCTTCCATCCGTCTGTCTAGCTGTATGTCTGTCTGTCTGTAAAGAATTTTTCAAAATGTTACTCCTCCTACAGTTTTGGTCTGAGTTCAATATAAGGCCATATAAATTTAAAATTTAGATTCTCATCCTAATTTGCTAAAAAATTGGGGCGGGTGGGCGGATTTTATTTTTTACTTTTTATAATTGAAAGTATCAACAAAACATTCGTACACGTAAATTTTACATGTTAATGCCAATATGAATATATTTTATTGTTTTCATATTCTTTTAAATATCTACAGAAGTTCTTGTTATAGAAAATTAAAAATATATATAACGTTAGTTTTATTAACAAATTATCAAGTACATGGATACGGCACACGCCAAATAAAAAGAGGTGCTGATCCTAATAAATTGCATATGCATGTTTTCTCATCGGCCTTTTCCCAAATACCTTAAAGTTTTACCAACAACTCCTGTTCTGTGTGATATACAGATATCACAGATTTACACTGTCCTGATACATTCAATCGTTCTTGAGACTTGACATGTTCGACATTAAAATATATCATATTTGCAAAACAGGATTGTGTAAATCTGTAAAATATTCTACTGAAAAGCCTAGGCCTGAACAGTTTTAAGATTTAACATTTCCTTAGCACTATTATTTTCTAAAGTCTTTGGACGATGTTTTATTTTTTTAATGCAAAATCACATACATCTGGAGATCGTTATTTAAAACTTGACCATGTGTATTTTCTTCGTCCGTTTTTACTTGATTAAAATCTCTTTAAAAACTTGCCAATGCCAGTGATGGTATCTAGATGTGTTTATATGTTATTTTTGCTTTTCTGCCTTCTCTTAACTAACCAGTTATCTTTTCCTTACATATTTAAACTGCTTTTATTGCCGATTTTTCCCCATTCTTCACATAGTTTTTTTGCTATAAATAGCGCCACGCGACTTTTAATACAGACGGGAGATAACTCTTAAATTTTGACCCAGATTCTTGCTGAATAAAAATACATGAAAATAATACGTTTGGCACCCAAAAAGCAAAATAAAAAACAACGGGGCGGGGCACTTTGAGAGGGGCGGGCGGGGATGAGAATCTAAAGATTAATTTTACCTGGCCTAACTTGGCACACAAGTAGACTACAGTTCGATACATAATTCTCTTTATCAGTTTTTGATTTCGATGAAGGGTGTTGCCATGGTTACTAAAAATAGAAATTTCAGTGAAATACTTTTCAAAACGCTACTCCTCCTACAGTTTTGGTCCGAGTTCAATACAAGTAGACTATACTAAGATACATAATACTGTATATCAGTCTTTGATTTCGTTGATCGGTGTTGCTATGGTTACTAAATATAGAAATTTCTGTGAAATACTTTAAAAATGCCACTCCTTCTACAGTTTTGGTCTGATTTCAATATAACTTGGAAAACAAGTAGACTACACTAAGGTTCATCATTCTTTTTATTGTTTTTTTTTATTTTGAAGAAAAGTGTTGCCATGGTTACTAACAGGGATGGGCATGATTACTGAAAAATGTAATTGATTAATAATCAATTACTTACATTTTTGTCCTGTAATCGATTGTAATCAATTACTTTGGAAGATGTAATCGATTAATAATGGATTACTTCCAATTTTTTATCCCTTCAAATATCAAAGCAATATTTAAATGGTAAATGTTGATGTTATCTACTGAAGTTTGAATGTGTTCCTGCAGTTTCAGTGCAGATTCTTTTAAGGTTTTATTCTGGATAACATTCTCACTAAATGCCCAAGTGAGGGATTCTCTACCATGGAAAGTGGAGACATGATTCCTACAATAAAATATGCCAAGGAATTCATTATTCCTTTCAACCTTGGATCTGAACCTCCATATTTATTGACTTGTTGCAAAAATTATATTTAATATTTTAGGGTGAATTACTTCATTAGAAGTATTTGGGCTGCCCGTATGTTGACAGTACACATTAAACATTCCTGTACGTGTCTTTTTCAAAAAAAAAAAAAATAAGTAAATGAGAACGACTCTTAGTAATAAATATGGAAATTAAATGTGTCTTTAAGTAATTTAAAGTAACGAATAGCACAATTTCATTCTGTATTGAAATAAGTGTTTTGAGAGCTATTAATTCTTTTAATAATATTGTTTGTCTTCAATGGAATAAAGTTAAACACTAGGTAGTTCACAATTTACACCTCATTATCTGCAAATCAGACATGTCTCAGTCAATTAATTAGCCAATTAAGATAAGCAAGCACAGTGACACACTCCCTCTCTTACAGACACATATAACCTCTCACTGATGTAAATTTGAATGAAAACATTAGAATGATTTTGCAAATTTTAAAGTTACTAAAACACAAGTTTGAAGTTGTTTAAACATTTTCAGATATGAATAAGTATTTCCTTCTTTTTTTATTTTTCGAGTACTATGTAGTTTATTTACCAAATTATTTATATTTAATACAGCGCTTAAATCTTTTTTTTTGCTATTTATAATTTTCTATTTCAAGACAAAGTTTTTCAACATCTGAAATATGGAAAAGGACATGCAGCAAGAGGACAGTGGGTCATATGTAAAATGCACACAAAAAATCTATACTTTATTAATAAATGGTTGAAATACACTTCTGAATTATTTAATACTAGACCAGTTGGTCTTTAATGCAAATGTTTTTGAGAACATTATTAAACTTATGATAATAAAAGTTAGGAAATTCAAGCATTACACTAGGTGCTTTATATTTTATATTTATGTGTGACTGAGTGGAAATAATTCTCCAAAATAACATCCATTTATTTAAGGAATGGATTTAATAGCTACCTATTTTATACACTATAAATTCGGTTGGGGCAGTTTACGCTTTATAAACCACGAAGTGGTTTATAAAAAAGCATAAACTGTTCCAACCCAGTTTATACCGTATAAATTGGGTAGCTATTAAGGTATGTCACTCGTCAGCCTTTTAGAAAATTTCAGTCAGAACTTCTTACTTAAAAACTTTTTATTACAATTCAATCTTTATAACATATTTAAATTAAACAATGTAAAATGTTCAACATTCAATTAAAAAACTGCTCAAAAATTCACAAAGAAGCAAGATTTATAAGGGACTATTTCTTGTGGCGGAAGGATATTTAGCAGAAAATTCTGCAAATCTACACATTTATTAAATTTAGTATCTTGGAACTTTAGCCTCATATACTTTTTCTCAGAGAATATTTTCCGTTATGATATGCCTGGAATATTAAATATAGGTCTCAATTTATATTATTATAACAAAATTTACACCGTCGCTCAACAAACATTGCCAAGAAATGAAGATATGTTAAGGAAGTTGAGATAAAATTTACACAGTTTTTTGCCTGAAAATTGCATATTTTGACCAATATTTCAAAATCTACATCACTGACCCCAACTTTTTCTTTCATTATTTTAAACTACCCGATACTTTTGACTGATCAGCACTTAAGTCGTAAAAAGTTTGATACAAGAAAATATTCTATTGCCTATTTAGATTTTTAATACCCCAAATATGAGACTTTTTTAGTGCCAAAAGGTCACACGATAATTTACGCGCATTAACTTGCATGATTTGTTCAATGATAAATATTATTCAAACTATTTTACGTAAAATAAGATTATGTTTATTGCCATGGTTACATCTTATAAAATATGATAACGGTTAAAGTGATTAACCTAAGAGTTACAATTTAAGTGCAAAAAGGTCAACTTAATTGTACCGTAGCTCAGTTAGATGCACACTGACCCCCCATTTTCTCTGCGATTTTGAGTCATACTATATGAGTATTTATCCAAAATATACTTCTCAAAAAATCCTTGATATAACAAATTTCACGAGTGACATACCTTAAATTCATTCCTAATAATTTAATTTTCATTCATTTGGTGTAAGAGAAAAAGATGATTGTCCTTTAAAAATGACTTTGATTTGTAAAAAAAAAATGTATGTAACGTCAGGCGGATTGATATGTTTTTGATGCAAAACATTGTGATGTAGGCATTGGCAACCCATTTTATATGATATAAATTAATTTTTTTATCCAATGGAAAAACAGCCTTACAACCAGAATTAAATTATGTATAAAATAATCTAAAGTAATCAAAAAACTAATTATAATTATACATTAAAAATTTAAGCTGTAATCAATTAAAATAAGATTACAGATTACTGTCGATTACTTGGAAAAAAATAATCATTACAATCGATTACGATTACCCCATCCCTGGTTACTAAAAATAGAAATTTTTATGAAATACTTTCAAAACACTACTCCTGCAGTTTTGGTCTGATTTTAATATAACTTAGCACACAAGTAGGCTATACTAAGATACTTAATTCTATTTATTGGTTTTTGATTTCATTGAATGGTGTTGCCATGGTTGCTTAAAATAAAAAATTTCTGTGAAATACTTTTGAAACGTTACTCCTCCTACTGTTTTGATCTGATTTCAATATAACTTGGTACACATGTAGACAACTCTAAGATACATAATTCTGTTATTGGTTTTAGATTTCGTTGAATGGTGTTGCCATGTTTGCTAAAATA